AGACACAAAGAAATCCATCCTGGAGACAGACGTCTCCCCCCTGTATGTGTGTGTGAAGCAGCAGCTCAACTCTTTGAGACAAACAAGGGAAATCCTCCTTGTCTTTCCTTGTCCATCACTGACAATCTGACTCCACGAGGCATGTGCCTGACTGCACAAGTCTCCCCCACCATCCTCGGCAAGGCTCCAAAAAATGAATAGGTTTCACCAACACCCCTGCGCACACAGGCAGGGGCCCTGTGGCTCCAGACGGGTTCCCCTGACGCAGGCACATGCTCAGACAGGAAGTTTGAGGAGAGGTTTGTTGCAGTTTACTTCTGTCGGAGCACTTCAGGTTTGACCCCCTCTTGACTGGGCGGCTTCCTTCTCCTCTATCTCTCTGTAAACAAGCACATCCCCGTGACTGAAGGCACGCCGACGCGCAACGTGTAATAACATCAGTCATGTTTTGATACGAGGTGGGACGTTTACGTGAGTTAGGGAGGCTGCGTAGCGAGAGGATCCTGATGCGCTTCCTCCTGAGTTTATGCTGATTGCAAGGATGACAAATCTTCGTCATAGAGGAAACCGTGTTAACCTGTCACCCTAATGGTCTTTGCCGTCCACCATTTATCGAGTGTGTGTCCAAACACGGACACACAACCATGCTTGCACGAACAAACATTGTACAAGCTGATGCACAGAAAAAGGGGGCTGTCCGGTGATGCTGCCGAGTGTGTGTCTGCTCTATTAGCACATTCCCAGATAGGGCCAGAGCCCTCTTATCTGTTGTGACCCATTAATTACACTTTGTTCCATTAAGTGATCTATTTCAGACCTGCCCCAACCTCGACACCCACTCTCTGCTATCTCCACCTTTGGCCTGCTCCTCCCCCACCTGAATGCTCTCCACTCAAGTCTTTTTCTCCTCCAACACACACAGTTTCCCGTTCTCTGGATGTGTTACAACGCATGGAACCACAAGGTCATGTGACAAGTAGCTCTTTAATTGAATACCAACTGTATAGCTGTCCACATTATAGAGTCACCAAGTCCCGAGTGTCATGTGTGACGTGGCTCCGTGTACCTCTATGTGCCCTCTGAAGTTTCAGTTGGAAGTTTGTGTTTCTGTCTATGCTGTCATCAGTTACTTTGATGCCCTGGATTGTAAAGAGCTTGTATGAGTTGTGCTTAAGGTTGTCCTTGTTCTATAGAACCTACTGGAAATAGTTTGTGTGTCTGTTGTAACAATAGTTTGCATACGATGTGTGTGTGTGTGCACGCGTGCGACACCATAGCTTTGTGTGTGCGGGGTTCTAACGTTCAAGGATGTCCATTCTTTGACCATTCATTCTAAATATGGCCTGTTTTTCTTACAGGTGTCAGTGCCCTCTTAGTATGCAGCCTTTTTTGTGACTAAGCAATGTGTGTTTGTCTGATATTGTTTGATGTATGTATTTGTATGCTTTGTCTAGGAGGTGCAAGTGTATATGTGTGTCAGACCATGTTGAAGTAGTGCGGACAGTGTTTTTCTATGAGAATAAGAAGCGGTGTTGTAAGTGTTATGTTTCTGTGTGCTTGTCTTTGTCTGTTTCCATGTTGGTATTCCCACATGTGCTTATGCTCTGTCCCTACTCCATCTAGCACATCTCTTGTTTGGCAAGGTTGTGTGTCCTGACCCCCACAAATGTGGCGAAATGCGTGTGTTCTGGTGCCAATGTAAGTGGACATATATGAATAAGTGTAGTGCCTCTGCTAATGCACAGTCTGTGTAGGAGGGGGGTTGTCCCTTTTCAGCTATGCTGCTTTATTGTGTCTGGACATAAAAACCAAAGCTCTCCATTGCCCCTCAACAGACAACAAAAACAACAAAACAGTGTCAGGCGAGCTAGCAGCCCCACAGTGTTTGTTAGTTGTCTTTACGAATGGTGGTTCAGATGGAACAAAAGCCTCGATAGCTGCATTGTTTACTGTGTTAATCTGCTGGTGGTAATCCCAACAAGTCCCATACATACACATATGTATGTATGGACAGTTTAACCTATTTATTCCCATGTATCCTTTCTGTCACATGTGCGATTGGAGACAGCAGGTACGTTTACTTTACATATTTTTTGTATTGGTTTTAAGGAGCATTTTTGCCTTCTGTTTATTAAAGATTTGATTTAGTTTGCAATAGTGATATTTATGTCTTTGTTTTTATGTGGGGTTTTTTGTTATTAGAAAACATCAAATCCAGATTGTATCATCAATTTTTTCCCTCACATTTATAAACATATCTTCATCTAAGACTGGTCATTCACTCATTTTCCCCATTTCTTAAAAAAACAAAAGAACCATTAAAAGAAACAACTAGTAGTCAAACTAGACAATAAAATCTGAAAAACCTACAGGCAAAATTAATTAAAGCATATTTTTGGGGATGTAGGAAAAAATGTAAATAGCCTACTTAAACGTAACCTGTGAGGGAAACCTAGAATTAAAAGCAGCTATATAATTAGAAGTAACTGCACTGAATCCAATGGAAAAAAGAGCTATTTGGTCATCCAAGTGACACTCGTGTGTAACTACTGCATAGCTTCTCACATCTCTGCACCCTTCTTACATAGAGATTTCCATCTGTTGAAACATTCTCTCTTAGAATGCCCTAATATTCTCTATCTAAATGTTTTATGTCATCTTAACTAATTCATAGTAAGTAATATTGACACAATGAGTGTGGGTAAATTAACTCCCCCCTCACTATATTGGAGTTTTTTACCACAGACAATCTGTCTTCAGAGGTTTTGTATTTGCAATACATACTTGTGTCGTGTTTGAACATCTATATTCACTTTTTAGAAATGTGTATTTCCGATTACAAAATGGATGACCATATCTTTAAATGTGACACACTTCACTGCTTATCCCAAGTATTTCAACCCTTTTCATTTGAGCTGAGTAAAACAAATGACATTGAGAGGTTTTTGTGGAGGGGAGGACATGTTTGGGCTTTTGATTTTTACTGGAGAGGAGAGTCTGCTGCTGGTATCAAATAGCCTGTGCAGTCCTTGGACCAGGGTTATCTTGTTAATACTCCAAGTCTATAAAAGCGGGGGTCTTTTATGATGGCCAAGGCCACCGTTTCACGTTGAAATAAAAAAGCACTCAGTCCAGTCTTGTTGTCTGCATAGGGAGGGAGAAAGTAGAGAAGGACAGATGAATGGATTTAACTGAATGAGACAGTGACAAAAATAGGTAATGCAGAGCTGTACTGTTTTTTTTTGTTTGCAATCCTTTTTGTTGCAAGTTTCACTCTCCATGGACCATGACATGAATATAAAGAAGGAATGTTAAGTAGCTTAGGCTGGGTGATAATTTAAACCTGTTAATGTGATATTCTCTCTTCGCCAGCTCTTGATTTTGTTTCACTTGTGTTTGTGTTTTATACAAACTCCTTTCAGCAGTCCCTGTAGCTACTGATTTAGGTTCCTCATCTCTTGATCTGTAATGAGTTCTACCTTGTTTCTGTCTAACGACAACACACAATAATAACCAAAGTAATTAAAAGCAGTATGAGGGAGATGTTCGAGGGGGGGGACCCCACTTAGCAACAAGGATAGAAAATTAATTTTATTCAACCGACAGTGATGTTGCTGGTTTGGTGAGACGTAGCCTATTTTGTTCTGATTTTGTTTTTGTTATTTTGTTTTTTATCCAGTGGTATGTATCTCTCCTGCTGCAGTACCCCGCAAACCTATAAGAGCTTTTTGCCGTCTTGATTTTATTCGTAAATAAATAGAGCTATTTATAGTGGTCTTTTTGAATTTGTGTTTACTGTGGGGTTGGTTTGGATGTGCTTACCCTAAGTGGAGATTGGACATCGCTGGTGGGGATTAATTAAATGTTTGACTGACGACGACACCTCCGTGTTTTGTTGAAGAGGCCAGAGTTGCTTTGGCAGTGTGGCCGGCCACCTGTCACCTGCCGGTGCTCTCCCAGACCTTGTCTCCAGTGGCAACATGTCGCACGCCCCTCGACAGACAGCCATGTGGGACAGAATTACATCCTTGACCTTTATGCATGTCTGCAACGTGGGTGACAATACACCTCACCGACTGCACACGTGTGGGCATTGCATTTGAACAGTCAGACATAGAGACACTTCCACACGTGCACACACAGAGAGTGCACAGACTCCTGCACACACCATAGAAGATTGTCTAATATCAGAGAGCATCGGGGGCGGAAATCCGATCATATGACAACCAGGATGCAGATAGCGATTCTCCACCACTGATGCATGCAACAGATAGGTTCCACAAGCAGCAGCTCAGCTAAAGTTACAATCAGCCAAGGCCCGCAGCACAATGCACCGGTCTGCCTCGCATCAAGATAAAATAAAAGCTAAGGTTACCATCGACAGGAAATTCATTCGATGATGCTGTGTTTGGGTTGCTTTTCTTTCTTTTTTTAATGAAAAATCTTACCAAAGGAAATAAGAAAATGTTTGCCCATGTTTTAGGTACCACATATATTAGTTCTGTCAGATGCTTTGTTTTTTGTAAGTTTTGGCAGATGATTAAATCACTGTTGATCTTCTTTTTTAAATTGAAGCTCATTAAATGTTTAACCCAAATGTCAGCATGTTGGATTAATCGCATAATTGGTTAAAGAAATTCAAACTTCACAAACAAAAGCATTTTCACTTTGAATCCTGCTTGATAGTTTCCTTGATAATTTGAATATGTAGTTGTTTCATAACTGACGCAAAGAGATGTGCCCCCTTCACATCAATGTAATTACGAATTTAAAAAAAGGGGTTTGATTCAAATAAAATAGGCTATTTGTACACAACCAATTAACTGTTGCAGCTTTAAATGATGTAGCCCAGATGGAACCTAATTATAATCGGCATGCTTTGATTTGCTGTTCCTGACGGAGTATCACTTGGGGCGTCACTTTGGCTTTTCAGTCACCTAGCGTTTGTTTTGAAATTTGTGACGATCACAGCCGATTACCATTTGTAACAGCATGCAACGTTTGGTGCAGAGGGAAGAAAGCATGGCCCATAGCAATGCAGGACTTTCCTTGTTTCCAGCTCAGAGCCGCTCCTCTGTTCCCTTACCTCACTGAACACAAATGAGGACTGTGTGTGCGTGTTACAAATGGCTGTGAAAAATGTCCATCCATCGGTCGACTCTCACATGTTTAAAGTGTTTGTGTGTCATCATATTGTAGCAGTGCAGAGTCAGAGAGAGATCAAACAGTCAGTCAATTACCTTGAGAGGGCTCCAGTGGCCATGACAGAGAGGAAGAGGCTAAATATCCAGGATCAAATACTCTCCTTTGCCTGTCACATAATGAAGCAGCCTCACCGGGCTCAGGCAACACATACAGAATAATCAAACAAGAGCCACTGGGCAGGCCCTGCATCCAATCTGTGCCATGACCTCAGCAGAGAGCGCATAAGGGAGCCCTCACTGCCCGCCATGTTTCTGAGACAGTTCTTTTTGTGCTCTATAGTTGAACATCTTGAGTAGCTTGTCATTGGTTTCATCTGATGGGAGCTTTCTATTGCTTAAAACAAATTCCAAACACATTATAAAAGGTGAACGTTTTTATTGCCACTATAGTCACCTTGACAAGTCAGTCAGAACCTTTATTTTAGAGCTCAATGCTGTATTTTGAGTGAATGAAGCTATTGTTGCTTTTAAAATATTTATTAGATTTGTTTGTAGACATGATTACAGTGGGACATTCAACTTGGTTTGCACAACGTTTTCAAGAAAGCAGAGTAAAGTTCCAACATATAACATGAAGTTAGTCATGCAAAGCTTTAAACATTTTATACTGTTACACCAGTACACTGCACTTCAGTCCTATACCTTCAGAACACCTTAGCAATGGAGACTGTAAGTCTGTACGAGAATGGGTTTATGCCTACTTGTGAGTTTTTTCTGGGGGAGAGAGGACTTCACATCAAAGCCTCCACTGATGGAGAGGGGTGGGGCTTAATGCTAGAGTCATTGGAGGGACACAGGCTCATCTGCATATTGGCACAGAGACACCCCCATGGTGACCCTCAACTGTGATGGGATAGGTTGGAGAGGCTGGCGGCATTCCGGGGGAGTTCATCGCCAGTTCAGGGTGAACAAGAGAGCACCACCGCATTGATTGTTTCTGCAAAAGGAAAAAGAAAGACAAAACAGAAGTTTAAAAAAAAACACTAGGAAGGAAGGAAAGACCAATAAAAGGGGAAAAAAGAGGAGGTGAAAAAAACATCACATTGCCCCAAATTGGACATAAATGATAGATTAGAGGTGTGTGAGGACTCTGTCTTTGTTCCCAAGGATAGGTGTTATGATGAGCCCTACACAGGTAACAGAGTCACTGAGTGCTGGGATATTGACTACCATGATTGCCAGCTCAGTAAATTTGACCCAAGGCACTGACAGCCATCTGCTTGCTATATAAAGCACGAGGCAGTCCCTTATCTCACAGTGATCCAGAGCTGCCATACATGCCTGTGCACACAAATTACACAAAAAAAACACACCTCCAGCAACTCAACCTAAATTCTCTCTCAACCCAGAACCTTACACTTGCCCCTAAGTCTTACAGTCACACACACACGCGCGCACACACACACACACACACAATATCTCCATTAATGCGTGCAGGCAAGGGTCAATCTAATAAACATGGGGTCAGTGCAGTGGTCATCAGAGGCCTGTCTGTAGTGAGAGAGCCTTTAAGGTGCTTCCTAATTGTATCCCTTCGGCCTCCTAGTCTAGCTTTTTATTAGCAGATGCAGTGTACACAGAGGAGAGCGCAGGGAAGATGGAGCTGAGGTAAAGAGGGCTATATGTTCTACCTATTTGACTCCTCTTGAACGGTTGTGTATTGTTCATACTATGTTAACCATATATTTATGAGACCCACTAACTTCAAATACAATACTATACTATAGGATACTTTACCATTTTTTCCAAATTGACCTAAGATAAAAGCAAATGCGCCTTTAAATAAAAGTCTTAGATTAGCAAGTAATGCTAATTATGATGGTAATAATAAGAAGAATAAGTAATTAGCACTAAGCCTATAGTTATTCAGTTCCCTGAGTCCAAACAGATGTCTTAGATCCATTTAACCGTGGTAAAAACTTTTAGGCTAACATATAATCCTTCTGGATGGGCAGGTAGGCACCTCAGTATGGCTTTTCTCCTCTAGTTCTTCTTTTAGCGCTAAGCAGCAAAGAAAGAAGCTAGAGGCAAGCCGTTATCCTCTAGTCTTGCTTAGTGAGCATGAGCAAAAAAATGCAAACTGTTCTCACCGTTGATGGTCTAGTGCAGAGCCTAAGTGTTCTTTTGGACTAGCCATAGAGTTTATAAGCCATCCAGCTAAATATCCGGCCTGTGATACCCTGACCTGAGGAACCTGAGGCTCATGTACCAGATTTCAAGTGTGACCCCAACTTGGGAACTTGCTAACCTGGAGGAGGTCAGAGAAACCCGGCACTGCTGCCTTCCCCTGCCACTGCCAGACCATCTGATATGTTCACTAGTTACATCTCCAGCTTCTGTCTTGCCTTTCCTCAATCAGTCTTTCAGAATGAATGACTACCGCTCCACTGGTTTCACTTAGTGCACCCATTGTGCATATCTCTGGTTCTGTTGGAAGGACCCCTCTCTATATTCACAGTCGTGCAGTGGTGTTGATTATCAAGTATCCACTAGGATAACATATTAAAGCTGTCCCATTGGACTAACGGGTCATAGGCTGCCGTGGCTCTCACGCATAAGCTTCAGTTTTGCCTGGAGAGAAACAGTTCATTGTTGGAATGGTGAGCCTTATGAGTTTTACCATCTTATCTAATGGTGTCGATTATTTTTTTATCATGGACAGATGCAGAATTGTGTATTTATGTTCGAATCCTGCACTTTTTTTGTCTATCGTGTTTTTTTTTTTCTTGGAGCTTTACAGTAAGTAAATGTCTTTGTGTTTGTGTGTGTCCTCTCCTTCATGTACTGCAGGAACAGAAAGGCATGAGCTGACCTCCTGGATGAGTTTCAACTCCATCTTCAGGTTCTTCAGTGAGGTGCTGGAGGCAAAAGAAGAGGAGGAGGCAGAGGAGTCCTCTAACACCGTCACCACACGCAGCAGCTCCCTCAAAAACAAACACCAGGACTTATAAAGAACCATCAACAATTACTTTGAATGGGATGACATTGTTGAGGGGGGGAGGGTGATGAGGAATCAGATGTAAACGTGCAGAAGGGGTCCTCTCTGCTATCTTTTTCCCCTCACTCTCCGTTTGCCTCTGTAACCTTCCACCGGTTTTCCTTCCTCACCCTTTTCTCTTCATATCATTACTTCCCTGTAGCCCTCTCTAGCTTTGCACTCGTAGAGTCTTCTTGTTGCTAAAGACAAGAGTACAGGGTCACCATGTGTACATCACAATAACGTTTTGCATTACTTCTAGTTGAGAGCAACTGTCAAAGCAATAAGGGGCTGAGTGTTAGCGCTTCCCGTGGGCTGTGGCCTGGCTGTGGGTACGGGCCACAGCAGCAGAGATTAAGGCTGACAGGCGCTGTGCACAATGCGCTGTGGTGCACCTCTAATTGTCCTGACATCAGCCTGAACTGAGCTAATGCCCCGCCTGCCCTCCAGGCTGCAAAGCTCAGTCTGTCCCCCCTCAATCTCCCTCTTCCCTCGGTCCTAAAGCCCGGTGTGCTTACCCTGAAATGAGCTCATGTGATATGTCTTACAAAGAAATATGTATTGTGTCAACCTGGCTAACAGTCGAGTCCATTTTTTTATGACATACAGGGTACAGTTTTTTTTTTTTTAAAGTAAGAGATCCCACTTTACTGAAGACTATTTGTTTTAACTATGGATTTATCATTAAGAATGCTTTATTCTCTCCCTTTTAATCCTGATTTCCCTCAGTCATCATTGTGGAGATTTAGTTTTTTTTTCCTTGTCTGCTCCTTTCTGGAATTGCTATGCTTATTTTTTTATATTACGGGTTTTTCCCCTTAACTGTGAGCCAAATTCAAAGGAAGTGTCTCATAAGCACTTCCTGATTTTAATGTCCTCCAATTCTGAAAGCAAGTGTGTGTTTTGTTCTCTTTGAAACCTCACGGGGATATCCTTGAAATTAGTGTTTGTGAATGATCGAATGTGATGAAACAAATAAAACAAAAACAACCTGTTCCGATTATGGAGAATTCTAGACACTGAGCATATTTAAAATCACATTAAATCAAGACTCAAAATGGGTTTAAGAGATATCTCATTTTAACAGGAGCATGAAGTCAGCGCACAACACTCATAAAACCCCAATATATCCCCTTACACATGTCAGGAAACCCAAGATTTCAATATTATTCTAAGCCAGAATGATATTTCCTAAGATGTTGGAGAGACGTAACATATCTTTTTCTCCCCACCAAAGAACTCTTTGTGTGTGTACTTAGAAGTGACAAAGTCAGCTCCCTGCTCGGCAACACGTAATCTGACTGTGTGACACAAACATGATAAATTTTTTCCATAAAGTCGGTGTGTTTTATAAACCACTCAAGGCTTAATGGAATGCACGTCTAATGTGTCATGACATTAGTTAAAAAAAATAAATAAATCAAACTGGATTCTGAACCTCACAATATTCTCAAATATGTACTTTACTTCTTTTATTCCAACATTGTTATACTTACACACTGTGAAACCCTGCCTTGTCTGCTTTCTGTGTGTATGGTTTAAGGCTTTTGTGGATTATCTTTCTGCTGTAATGAGACAAGTGTGCCTGATGGTTGCAGGCCTAATATCCTTTTAATTTGATTCAGATCTCCCCAGGTTTCAGCGAAGAAGTTGGCTTATTATTTGATTTCCATGAGCTTCATTTCAAGATACCATTTCTCACCTTTGTGCTTTTCAGCTACAATCGGTTCTTTTTCCACCATAATTTGTATATTGTTGCCTTAGGAATAAACAAGACTCTGCTCACTTTTTAATATCCAGCAAGCCATATGTTAACAGATCTAAAGATGTAAGAGCAGCCTAAATCCAAAGCACAGTCTCAAAACGTGGGGCAATTTTTGCTGATTGCTCTAAAAACTGTTTTTTGCAGATGTTTTATGAAACATGGGTGTTTACTTTTATCAAAGGGAAACTTTTTTGTGTTTTCAAGCCGAAATCATTCTGCAATTTCATGAAATTGTCATATATATGTATAAAATTACTCTATGATTATTGTTCCAAGCCATTATTTTTCCAGTCAAATTGATTTTAAACAGCTGTCTGAAATTATTGTAACTGCTCTGAACCAGGACTTTCTCTTTTTACATGATTTCATTTTTGTAATTAACCCATTAAAGAAAAAAACGAATATAAACGTCTTCTGTATTCTATAATTATATTTATTTATTTCCCCTTTTAATATAGATTTTCGCTTAGCTGTTGATTTACTTTAAACCCCTTAACTTTTTTTTTTGCAGGTTACTGGCGCAGCGTAAAGAAAATTATCGACGTATTTAGAGGAAAAACAAACAGCTCTTGAAAGACAGGTGCGATGGTAAAGTGAGAAAGATGTGGCCGGAAAGTGTGAAGTGCGCGCGGCGGGATGAGAAAGTGGAGCAGGCAGTGTAAAATGACCTCCCCCATTGTCTCTGCAACTACAATATGAAATCTAACCATATGGAAGACCACCTAACATTCATTTGCTACCACAGGTGTTAAATATCTTTTGTAAAGTTTCTGAGCTGGTGAAACAACTTATTTTAATGTATTTCTCTTGCTATTTTAGGAAAAGCTGCAGTAACCACAAAAAAAAATAATGTTTGCGCAACAGAGTGAAGTTAATTTATAGACAAGCGAGAAGCGTGTCAAAATGAAAACGAACTATTAACCGAAATGCCCCCCTTTTGGTCATTAATTTTAAGTAAAGTGAGCCCCCCTCACGCCACCACCAACGCTGTAAGCTTTTACAGCATCATTTGTTTTCACATGGTGAAACCGATCAGGTCATTAAACGCCCCCTCAATAAATCTTAAGAAATCTTTTTCCAATAACCCCCGAACAACAAGTGGAACCAGGCGAGTCCTCCCTTTGCTCTGTGTCAAGCCGCAGATTAAAGGGAGTCTTTCAATCACGGAGGCGCGCACCAGTGATTTGGGCTCCACTCCACGTCTTAAACGTGTCCAGAACTTCTGTGGGATAAGCGCAACTTCACAACTCTGCAACACTGAGAGGGGGTGGGGGGGGGGAACTCTGCTCTCCCGTTAGTGTGACTTTTTTCAGAGTTTAATTAAATAATATGCCTTCCGTCCAAAGCAATAACGCGGTGGTATCACATCGACCTCCAGTCGGCTCTCATCAAATCCAGGAGATGAATAACACACACAGCGGGAAACGCTACATTTTGGAGCAGGAATTAGTGTATGCCTTAAAACTCATTCCCAATCTGTCAGGGCCAGCTATTTTACAAACTGCTATTGTAATAACAGAGGTTGTGTAAAATAAATAAAAGAAGTTTTACGCAGAACACTCAGCGCTTTACACTTCAGGGGGATTGAAAAAACAAAAGAAAGGAAAGAAACTCCAGTGTGGAGTTTTCTTTGTGACAGTGATTCGTTTCTGTGGTGCAACTGCACGCGCTGGTTCCTGAAAGTTTCAGGACTTCCAAAGAGGAAAAACCGAATAAGGAAGTGTGGAGTTACCCCAGCATGCGAATGTACGATAGATAAATCCGACTTGATTATAGGTTTCATTCTCCCAGCTTCGGTGATGCGTTCATGGTGCACACATGACAGTAATAAATATCAGACATTTGAAAAGAACAGCAGCGGCCGAAAACCGGGATGAAATCCCTTCAAAATAGGGCAGTTTGATCTGTAACGTCACCTTTTGGGGGGAGTAGAGGGTAAAGACCATGCCATTCCTTTTGTTTTAAGTTGGGATCCCCTGTGCTGCCACAGGCTGATATATATATATTTTCTTACTTCAAAAGAGAGTTGTTGTCACGCTTGCTTGCCTCTGCCCGTCCTTTCATACACATCATCCCTGCAGAAGATGAACTCTCTCCAAAGGTACCAGGCATTAAACAAAGTTGGAATGTCACCCTCCTGACAGCCCCCCTCACACGCACACACACTGCTCCAGCACTCTCCAGCGGATCACTGTCAGATCGCTATTTGCATAATTATATGCCCTGCTCAGAGGAGAAAACTAACCCCCGAATTTTACGGGTCAACTAGCTGCAACAATCAATGTTTTATCGGGTATACTAAGGGAAATATATCTCAACAATCATAGCAGAGGGAATCTCATTCTCCCCCTTCTCGTCTCCTCTTTTATCAATTCAATTACATTATTGGCATGACTGCTTATCAGAAACAATATTTCCAAAGCAGTCTTAAAAAAAAGGAAAAGAAAAATGTAAGTTCTCCCTGCCTCAGAAAAGAAACCAAGACTTTCCCTCTCAGTGTGAGAGCAAATACTTTTTGCAAAATCTATTGACAGACTTCAGCTTGAAGCTGCATTCAAAATGTATCTTTTCTACCCTTTCTACCTGCCCCCCTTTGCTCTGCCCCACTCTGTTTTTCCTCAGAAGGAGAGCTCTCTAATATAGGGCCTGAGCACCAGAGCACAGGCCTGGGCTCACTGGTCGGTTTCGTTAAACATCATTACATATTCATTGACTTGCAGAGAAGCCATTTAATCCCGTGGAAACTGCTCCTCTTCAATCGCCTCTCTGCCTCTCTGTTCTAATAATGACTCCCGGAATGAAACGGCACTTGGGGCCACATACATAAAATTTGGGAGACGCTTTGACTGGCCTTAATTCTTCAGGGCAAAGATGGAGCAACACCGTTCTCAGACACCGTGGTTCCCAGTGGGGTTCCATGGGGGTTTTCTGGATCTGTTAAGCTTTGTATCAGTTCCAACTAAAACATAAAAGTTCCCATCTCAGATTTGTGCCTTCATTCTTTGAAAGAAAATTACGTCACGTCAGGTATAAGTCATATGTGTCTCCCAATAAAGCACCAGGAAACATTTTTGTGGAAGTAATCCCCAGAATCTGCCAATAAAAAATAAAAAAAGAAACACACATGCACACACATTTGCAAAAGATCTAATCCCCATCTTAAAGGAAATTCAGGGCCTGAC